AGCAGGTGATCCTCCCTGGGGCTTAGGAATAAGGCTTTGGGGTTTAGGGTTTGGGGTTTAGGGTTTAGGGTTTAGGGATTTAGGATTTAGGGTTTAGGGTTTAGGGATTTAGGGTTTAGGGCTCTAGGGTTTAGTATAGCGTTGGGATTTTTTTGGGTAGGGGTCCTTAGGATTTGTCAAGATGATAGGACAACTATAGGGACCCTGACAAAACGCATGTAGAAGTTTCGATTTTCTTTGCCATTCCCTCAAGCCGAAAACCCATCAAAATGCCCTTTGCCTGATAGGGCTACCCCTAATACGCCCCAAAAGGATCCAATAATCCCAAATAAAGAAGGCCCATAACTTGCGGCGACCCATAAGGCCTAACCCTAAACCCTAAACCTACCCCATGATTCGCCTGTGTTCAGCAGCCAGGCATGGCCACCATGCTTCTCCAGCTTGGCTGCGAGCCTTCGACTTCTGTAAAGTAACAGTAGGGTTCAGGGTTAGGGTTCAAGGTTTAGGGTTTAGGGTTCAGGGTGTAAGGGTTTAAGTGTCTATTGGTTCAGAGTTTAGGGTTTAGATGGGTTTAGTGTCTAGGGCTCTGGCCCTAACCCAAGGTTTAGGGAAGCCCTAACCCAAGGTTTAGGAAGGTTTTAGTAGTCGGGAGCAGATAATGACAAACAAGGTCCACAGAAGCTCCGTGCGCTGTGTAAAAGGTTTAGGGCATCGGTTTACAGAAGGGCTTCGCGCTGCATAGTTGGGAAAGAAGGTATTGAAAGAAATTCAGGTTCGGCGGTCATGCAACGTAAACCTGATGAAAATCCGTAAAGAATTTCCATCAAGGAGCATCTCGGCATAATGGTAGGGGTGCATGGCCAGGAAAGGCCCACCGAAGCATGCAGAGAAGGTAGCCTTCGGAAGGGTTCAGTGGGTTTAAGGTATGGGAGGGCTTCTGAGGCCTTGCCGTCAGGAGTCGGATCCAGGTAAAAGATGCTACATTGGAAGTTCTCTCCTTGTAAGAGTACCATGCCACTACAATGTGAAGTAACTAAGCTGTTACTGACCTTGCTCGACCCTTCCTTCAGCAAACGTGGAAGCTTAGAGGGGATCCTGCGAGTATATAGTCCCCCTTAAGTAGATAGAATATGGGGTATATGGGGATCTTATTATAATATGCCTAAAGCATCCTAAAGCCATATTCTATCTACTTAGGGGGGAATATACAATAAGGGGCTTCTCTTTTCAGATGCTCCTTACTTTGCTTGGGATTTCAGTTTTAGCGCATCTAGGACCAGGATTTACAGACAGGACGCTGTAGGCTTGAAAGTAGGACTTTTGTGGAGGACTGCGATAAGCAAGATTTAAGCTCAGGATTGATAATAAAGCCCTGAACCCCAAACCCTGCGCCTCCTGTAAGAATCAAGGTTCTCGAAGAGCTGAGTGCTTCCTACACGCGGGCACGCGCGCCCCGAAGGCGATCTCCAATTTCGAGATCCCCAGATACCCGAATTTAGGTGGGTCCTTTACCATGAGAGGTCAAAGGGGTGTAAAGGTAGATATGGTAGCCTCCCTATCAAATCCCCATCATGAAACTATAAGCGGAGGTGTCCCTCTTACCCGACGGACCCTGCAGTATAGACTTCCAGGTTCGGAGATTTTTTCCAGGCCAACGTAATATATACCCTATTATAATGTAGGAGCTTCCATTTTCTTTTCCATTATCCCTATATTACCCCAGTATTCCCTCACTCGCCACTAAACCTAAACCCTAAACCCTCTTATTCCATTATTCCCTTATTCCCTGCTACCCCTAAACCCTAAACTCGAAAATCATGCCTTGTTCCCTACTCGCCCCCACATGGCCAGATTGGAATGGACTGACTGCAGGGTAATTTGGACGGGCTTAGGGTTTAGGATTTGAAGTTCCATTGTTGAGGCAATACCCTAAACCCTAAACCCTAAAACTTCTTAAACGCTAAACCCTTGGGCCGGAAGGATCTGCTAACCCCGAATAATGTTGTTGACTCTTAGGCCCCTGTATCACCTGAGCAACTTTGTTATGGTGGGTGCACAAAATAAGAATGATGTTTCTGTATACCGAATACCATACACAAAAGGAGGCTATAATCTTCCTCTGTATTGGGTACCATAGTCTACTTTTGAAGGCCTGAGGCTCCGTGACGCCCATCTCTGTGCCGGCGACCTCTGGGCATTTAGGATTCAGTCACGGGGATTTAGCTGTCTGAGGGGACGTTCTAGGGGACCATTGTAGCTACATTTGGGCTATGCATGGCTTGTATCCTGGCTAGCATTTTGGTTCGACTTCTGGTTCCAACTTGTACTCCCTTGATTGAAGCAGTGGCCTAAATGATTGGAACGGGGGTCTGGGGGCTGAGATATGCAAAACCACAGCGGTTTAAGGGTTTTGGGTTTAGGTTCAGGGTTTGCGGTTTATACTACAGCTATATGGGGTGTGTAACACAGTGAACAACCTACTTGCTGAGTCCCCTGGTCCTTGAAGGATGCAGCGGTTATATAGAGGTTATGAGAGCATAATATTGGTACATTTTTTCGGGCTTTCGCAGTAAACTGTAAGCCCTTTAGCCGAAACCGCTAACCCCACCAATCCTTTTGGGTTCGGGTTTCCCACTTGTGCGGGCAGCTCTGCACAGCTTCAAAAGCACTCGCAGCAAAATCACAACTGGACCCTGCAAGCGACAGATGAATCACTTGTGTGCTTCAAATGCTCAATCCTCGTTGCAATAGCGCACCATCAACATGCTCGAGAGTCATCTATGGTAGGGAGAATAGTGGCCAATAACCACACTAAAGCAATCCCTTTGCAAGTCCTGATAATATTTCACAAGCCCCTCATTTACCTCAAAGCACTGAGTGGAAGGCTGAGTGAATGGCACACTCTCACAGACAAACATGGTGCCCTATATAGACTGGTAGATTGCATTATGATTGCCAGATCCAGGAGGATGAGGTCCCTTTGGGGTCTAGGGTATTGGCTAAGAATCAAGAACCCACGAGGCAAGACTTCCTGTGTCCTTCCTCAATCAGAGGCTCCAAAACCCCTAGCGAGACGGGACCGGGGTATATTGGGGGTTTTGAAGGAAAACATGTGGGTTCCTTCCTCTAAATTCCTGAAACCTGAAACCAAAACTCACCCGAGCCGTAAACTTCAAACCCTATGCCATAGGTGGACACCCCACCCCGTAATGTTGACTATGATGGTGGTGATTATATCAGGGCCCCCTCATAGTCCAATTATACCACTATTACAGGTTGGGGGGTCCACCTAACCTATGCCACAGTCATGACGACCTTGGCAGTGTAGCCAGAGATGAAGTGATACATCACCTGAGCCGTGATTTCGTTTGGGGCAGAATACTGAAGATTTACGTCCTAGCTGTTGATTTGCCGAGCCCCCAGAAAGTCAACCGTCTAAACGTGACAAGATGATGGGTAGGTTTTAGGTCATCCACTCAGCCACTAAGCTGTATGAAGATCAGGTTTTGAAACTGTCGCTATTGCAGGGTACAATGGGCTCCTGGGAACGGACTGGCAAGAGTCTCACCATGTTCAAATCATGACCTACCGCCCACGTTCCGCGAGCCTACATCAAAACAGGACAAATTCGAGACACTGTTCGTGGACCCTCAACCGTAAACCGGGGCCCAATACTCCCTGCAACCTAGCCAGTACTCACTAAACTTTGAATGCAAGGTAGGAACAACTTACTTACACGATGCTCATCTCCCTCGCCCCTATATATCTCTGATAGACTCTGCCTCAAAGTCCGATTGCCATCATCTTGGCACATCTTACCAACGCTCAAAGACCCTCCACTACAAAACCCTAAATCCCTTGTTACAAATCCTGATATATTCCTATACACACCCCAGTTTCCATTCCATTTTTCATTCAACCCCTAACCCTAAATCCCTTGTTTCAAGCCCTCACGACCTGCTCCTTGGTGAGTTTGGAGATCGGCGGAAGCACGCCGAAGGCATCGCAGGTCAGGAGAATCACGTTGCCTGAACTCGAGATGTCTCAGGGCAAAAGAATTTGAGTCTCCGGGTGCAGAGAGCCTAGCTTTAGGTTTAGACCTTAGATCTTTAGGGATTTGGGGGGGTTCAGGGCTGAGGAATCCTCAAGACAAGGGCATCGACATCCTACGCATGGATTACGAAGACGTTCTGGGGCAGCTTTGAAGGGCCACACTGTATAGTCCCCCTTAGGTAGATAGAATATGGCTTTGGGTATATTCCCCATATACCCCATATTCTATCTACCTAAGGGGAACTATAGGTTTAGCCCCCACCCGCCCACTGACAGCCACCACAAGGGAAAATGGTAGTTCTGTTGGGGCCCGCTCTAGCCTTAATAAACTACTATTGCTGGTGGTGGCCTGACACAAGCCATACTGCATCTATTATGTCAGATCAGAGTGTTGTTACACTTTTCAGGCTTGGTATAAGGTGGAAGGGGATGTTTGAGGGAGCAGAACTCCCTCAACCTAAAGCAGCGAAAGGTTGACCGAGTTCTGCTTCCTTGTCGGGATACTAGCATCAATTCTGATCCTATATTGCCTTGAGATTTTCTATAGTCAGAATCGGAAAACAAGAGCTAACAAAGGCGCAGAGTGGCTGGGATGGGTGTCCACTTTGGCCGGGATGAGTGCGTTGGGAATGTAGTGCAGCGGGTAGGCACATCGCGTGTTCTCCGTCAGAGTGACATTGTCATAGTCCACCTGCCGATTCCACTCGTCAAAGACCACATTCTCCAGCACCTGACTTCGAGATGTTGATAGCAAAATGCAGGAACTCTCAAACCCTAACTCCAAACCTTAATTGCCGTTCCCATTTAGGAAACGGACACTATCCCTCGGAAGTTGCTGCAGAAGGTCCTTCAAAAAACATGTACGGGCTTTGGCATCGAAAAACGTAGCCATGCAGGACTTGTGAAGGACGAATATCATGTTGAGGTCTATCCGAGGTACCTTAAACCATAGCCATGCAAGACGCCTAGGACGATAATAGTCTACATTCGCCCGTTTTAGAAGCCACAGAGGTCTTTCTAGGCTCTTTTTCGTGAGAGTTCCGTGTTCGTTGTTGGCAGAGACCTAAATTCAAAACCATAAACGATAAACACCCGAAACAGAAAGCCCCAAACCCTAAAGCATAAGCCCCAAATCAGCATCGCACGCGGACCTGACATTTGCCCCGAAAGATATCAGGTCTCCCTGACCCAGCACAAGGTTTGGGGTTTAGGGGACCTGGTGTTATATAGTGGCTTTAGAGGGGTTATGTGAAGATATTCTGGGCATTCTGTGGGGATTATGTATATGAGTTAAGGTGTGGAAGATAGGTGGATGGAGGAAATCTTGCACTACCCTGTAGACCTTGCACGCTATGAACCACAATGGGTGCAGGATTTCTTCTATCCACCAAAAGGGCCAGACCAAGATCACAAGTCAGCCCATAATCAGGGTTTAGGATTCTGGGTTTGGGGACGTCATCTTGACGATGGGGGGATTTCGAACGACAGGACAATTCCTGGCAACTCTTGGAATCGACTCCGAAAAATCTTCACGCCAACTGATCCTGCTACGTACTTTTTCAGAAGCAGTGACGCTGCCGAAGCGGATGGCATCGTAGATCTCTGGCTCCTTTTGGGAGACAGTATGAGCTACACTCAATATTCCCCATATAGTTAATGGACACGAGTTCCTACGAGGGCAAATCATTGGGACTACACAAAAAGGGACCCCTATGTCCACCCTTCAGGGTCCCTTTGTAAGCCTGATATTGACAGTAGCCCACGTAAGCCTAAATACCCCTACATGTATCAGAAATCTCCAACGTCTGGGGCTGCGGGTTGAGGGATCTACCCCCCATTAAGTCATAGGTAGAGGTAAGAAAATTCCAACATGCCCAGAATATAAGTATATATCTATATACATAGAACAAATAATGCTACTAGTAACTACAAGATGCCGTAGGATCGTACCTGGTGATACGTTTGGCGTCTCCCTTCCTAGGCCACAGTACATAGTCCCCGTTTCCAGGTATTGTCCATTCTCTTTTCGAAGCTCTCTTCCTTTCGATGCTCAATTACTCTCATCAGGCCCCAACTTCAACCCTAAACTATGTACATATGAACCATAATCTAAACTCCTTAAAGAGGGATTGTATAAGGGATAATATACGGGACTACTATAGGGGTTACTAAGGGGTATACTAGGAGTTTAGACTATAGCTCCTATCCCTATGAGCCTTTGAAGAGACCTACTTACTAAGTCCCCAGAGACCTCCCAGTAACCCCTTGGAAAGGTTAGGGTTTAGGGTTTGGGGGTTAGGATCCTTCTCGCGCGAAAGGTTGATGCACTTGGCGTAGCAGCCGCCCTCAATGTTGAACACGCCCTTCCTTAGTTGGCAGAGTCCCCAGTGGCCCCCAAGCTTAAACAGCCCTTGAAAAAACCTTGTTTGAATCTTCTTTCGCGGCAGGCCCCTGTTCCCTAAACCTTAAGGTACTAGGCTAAAAGTAATATAATTAGGAGCCTGTGAAATTGATACCACTGTTGCCATAGCCACCAACCACCCCGACATGCACCGACACCATCACTATCCTCGCCACCAATACTATGGCTGCACGTGTGACCTCACTGCACGGCTCTTATGGTAGCACCCGTTCCATTGTGTTTCACTAGTGCTTAGTGCTGCTCCATTTGATTCTCTATCATGTGCGTAGTAAGCGTCACCTATGATTATGGAAGACCTTTCCAACAAATGTCCCGAAGCTATACCTGTTATTAGAAGACCTTAACCCTTAACCCTGAACCTAAACCCTGAACCCTAAACTCTAAACCCGAAACCCCAAACTCTGAACCCTAAACCCTAAACCTTAAACCCGAAACCCTAATCCCTAATCCTTCTCAACAACAACAGAAGGAGGACCTCAACAGCCAACCCAAGCCATGACCAGCTGCGATGTCCAAACATGCTCGTCGTCCCCAATGAGCTTCCTGCGATGCTAGGCTTTGAGGGGTTAGGGTTTAGGGTTTAAGTTAAGTACCTGGAAGGAGTCACCATAACATTGAGGAACTTGGAACCCTGGTAAAAGATGCTTTTTGCTGTTCCTTTGGATTATAAGACGCAAAAAGTAGAAAGTATTTCCAAGTATCCCTAAAATAATCAGGATCATACTATCTTGGGGTGTATATTGGGGTCCCTCGATTTCTGGAAACTGTGTAAGCTGGGCTTCGGGCCTACGGTGTCGGGTGTCAGCATCTTTCGTTTGGAACCTTGGGGTTTCAGAGACAATGGTCTCGGAGTTTGCGGCTCAAGGTCTTACAGCTTTGGCTTTGGCTGTATAACTTAGCAAGAGTTGATGGTTTGTAGGCTCTCTTTATGTCTCATACGCTACAAGAAGCGATTATGCCTTGCAGTTGTCCGGATACGTTGAAAGTACAGAACCATCCACATCCAGTCAAATCGCAAACAAACGCGGGATGTTTGCCAATTGAGCCTGCTCTTTACTTTCTTTGTAGCACAGCACCCCTAACACCTTGGGTACAAGAACGAGACTGCAATATTGCGAACTAGCCAAATAAGGCCTGAGACACCCTTTGAACAAGCCCTAAGCCCTAAATAGTAGTTTCCATTTTCTTTTCCATTCTCCCTATATAACCCCTATATAACCCCCATATAACCCCTATATAATCACTAATATCCCCATAGGTTCCATGATCCCTGTAATAATGGTAAGAGTAATAATACTAGCTTTGAACAAGTACAACCCTAAACCCTAAACCCTAAGCCGCTCTTACGCCTTCCTCCAGACCCACTCCGTCCTTGCAGGGTCGGCGCTGAGTGTCGTCTTTCCGGTGCCACTGAGCCCGAAGAAGAGGGACACATCACCTGGGGCTATATAGCGTCATATAGGGTTGTATAGCTATATGGGGTTATATGGGGTTACCTGGGTCTTTTCACAGCTCGGAATTGGCTAAGCGAATGTGGACGATTGTCGGAGATAAGGCCTTATGGAGCTTGGGATAAACCTTTACACTTTGATGAATATAAAAAGCCTGAATCCCAAACTCCCTGGGACGTCAACACTCAAGCCCAAGCTCAAGTAAAAATGGGGGGGTGCCTTTAAAGGAGAGTTTATACACGGGTATTTAAGGATATATAGGGTTTAGGGATTACGGATTAGGGTTTAGGGTTTCCCAAGTCTCCGTAATTGGGGAAAACTACCAAACTGCGTCTTGCCCACCCACCAACGGGGTAGGGGGAGTACCCAATTATCGTCTTTGGTTTCGGGATCATGTAGACCTCTAATTAATAAACCCCCTCCCCTTAAAAGTGATTATAATAAGGATCCTAACATCAAGGCACTGAAAAAGGAAACTATCGGAATTATGGGGATTATATAGGGGTTATATAGGGATTATATGGTATACATTGGGGTTATATTAGGAATAATGGAAAAGAAAATGATGGAAATTACCATAACGAACTATATGAGGATTATAGGGTACATCTACAGTGGTTTTCTACGTTTCGTTTCTTGGTATTCTATGGTTGAAACAATCATTAGAGCCTTGGTGCCACCACGGCGATTGCCGTAGATGGACAGTCACTTCATGTATGGCTTCCCAAGCCCTGAGGGCTAAGTTTCAGGGAGGCTTAAGGGTTTGGGGCTCGCGGCTTAGGGAACATATCCCCCGAATCAAAGCATTAACCTGAATCCGTGATGCCTAATCACCTAGGTCTTGAGACCATTCTGTCTCCAAGCCAAGCCAAGCCGAAAAAGACTTTTTATCTAAACGAAAAAATCCGCCAAAAAAGGCGACTTAAGAGTTATCTACTCAGCTACTAAGCCCATGAAACTGCAAGCCCTAAACCGACTCAGTCTAGTTACCGCCCGGGCCCACATTGCACGAGGAGTGCAAAGGCAGCGCGCGCTCTGCTGGAGAGAGATGCCGCTCGGGGCGCAGAGGCATATGATACATCCTTCAAGGCTTTAGGGCTCTGCAGTTTAGGGGCTTTAGGATATAGAGTTTTAGGATTTGAGGGCTTGGGGACCCTAGGGTTCTCGGGGTCTAAGGCTTAAGGGCTTTAGGATTCTTGAAGGTTTCGAAGGTGTTAGTGCTAAAAAAAGAGTTTTTAGGCTCTTAGGATTTTGGTGGTTTACTGGGTTGCTATTAAGGAACGTAGCTTAAGTTACTATAAGATGAGTATGTAATATCGTAACTTAGTTTAAACTCCTTAACAGCAAGCCAGTGCGGTTCAGGGTTTGACGATCTGGGCTTTGAGCATCGGGTTCTACGGTTTGAGGGTCTCAGGGTTTAAGTTCTCAAGCTATTTCTTGTGGAAGCCATAGATCCTTGGATTGGGCTTCTCAGGCCTACAGCCAAGAAAGCTTGAAGGGCAGATTGCATGTGCGACAGGACTATGTATTGGATCTTTGGTACATCCTTGAAAGGCGGACTCCGAACACTGCAAGCAGCGCACTTCTCAGACTTCCATAGAAAGCATCATAAAGCAACTTGAGCCTCCATTCGCCTCCGTCTTTTTTCTTTCAAGCAAGCAACCCATAAAAAATGCCCCTCAAGCCGAAATTCTGAGCCTCAAACCCTTAACTCCCAACCTTAAATCCTGAAGCATAAGCACCCAAGCCACAACCTCAAACCCCAAACCCCAAACCTGGGTCACAAGGAAAGCCCAGCGTCATCACGGTGAAGACACCCTTCTTCATCTCCCCCGCATATTGGGTGCCCAAGATAACCTGCATGTATCAACTTGACGAAGCAACATGCAGAATAAGGCCAGGTTCTTTTTGGCTTGTAGCATTTAGCAGAAGAAAATTATCTCCCGTCGGTTACCAACCAAAAACACCCTAAACCCTACACCCTGAACTCTAAGGCTTGTCCCAACCCCAAGCACTCTCATCAAGACTAACATGGAATAACATGGAAGCCACATTAGCCCTTTTAAAGCACGACAGCCTTTGCGGACCCATTCTCAGCATCAATGTTAATTCATTCAGGCAAGCACTAAGCTGCTTGTAAAAGAAAATCTGTAATATCACTTTGTTCAACCACCTCAAGCACTCTAAACCCCGAACCCATCAAGTCCCCAAACTGAAACGCCGGAAACCTAAAACCCTAACCCTTCAACCCAGAACGAGAAGGTCACTAATTTAATCTTTGTTTTGGAGCCCGCCCAAAAATGCCCCTACTTTGGATACACCCTGCAGCCTAATCCCGAAACCCGAAACCTTGAACCCTAAATTATGTACTTGTATTCTCTGGAATAACCCGTATATCCACTTTAAAGGAAACCTCAAACCCTCTACAGGCCCTACATATCCCTATAAACCCGCTATATACCCCTTGAAAGGTACCCCCTAAATCCTAAACCCCTCAAAACTAAACCCCAAACCCTGAACCCTAAATTTCTTACTTTTTGCAAGAGGGAGGCCATTTCGCCGCGGCAGAGTGACAGGGCGACGGACGTCGTCGAAGTCATCCCGGCCGTGTGCCGGTTGCATGGGAAGCAGCCTGGCTACGTGAGGATTTAGGATTTAGGATTTCAGGCTTAGAATTCAGGATTTAGGGTTTAGGGTTTAGGCTTCGGGGTTTGTAGGCTTTCGGTTGAGGACTATGGAGTTGAATATTGTATACCGGGGATCTGGCTCTCGTATACACATACGTGTTTACATATATACATGCGTATATATATATATATTATATGTAGATATCCCTAAACCCTAGACCCTGTAGGCTTCAGGGTTGAGGGGGTCAGGGTAATCATTGAAGGCGTATATCCTTACAAGGGTTCTGGGGTACCTTATGCCTGCAGGAGTTGTGAGGATGGAATTTGCCTCATTCACGCTTCTACAATACGCGGGCGGAACTCAACATCCTTCTTCTGTGGGAATCACCACATTTGGGGGTATGTCGGGGGTGCAGCAGTTTGGCCAATCAAGAGCTATATGAGGACCTGAGCACTCCTTGAAATGGTGCCCCTTACCTCCTCAGCAATGATTCGGGGAGATCTCAAAGCCGTAGATCACATGTGGCAGGCACACTAACAAGGATCTACTACCCCTGATTCTCTATATCCTCTACACTTGCACCCTCAGACCTACGCCCGAAACCTAACCCTAAACCCTTCCGCGCCCCAAGCCCTGAACCCTCAGCGCCAAGCCTCGAAACCCAAACCAACCTTGCAGGCGGCCTGCGTTGAAGATCACGAACGGCCTTGGGAAGGCGTTCGCCTCGAACTGGAAAAGCTCCGACTTCGAGGGAGGGACCAGCATGTTCCTCACTTGAAAGAAGCGTTTCGGATAGACCCAAGAAAGGCCCCCACCCTGTAATCGCGGTAAAGTAGGAATATAAGAGGACCCTGATATCATCCTCATTCTCCCTTAATAGTTACTATTCCCCTTAAACCCTGGACCTTAAACCCTAAACCCTTAACCCTATATATTCGCTTATAGTCACTGTTACAGGGTGGGGGGTCCTTCTGACGTAGACCCGAAGACCTTCAGTTAGAGGATTTGTTAGTTTCTTATATTGGGGTTATATAGGGATAACGGAAAATGAAATGGAAACTACTATTTAGGCTTTAGGGTTTAGGGTGAAGGGTTTGGGGTGAAGGGTTTGGGGGCATAGGATTTAAGCTCAGGCTTTGGGAATTTGGGGCTTAGGCCTTTGAACGCTGCACAAATCCCGTCATGAAACTCTGAAACTGAAGCCCCTTAGGCTGAGGGTGTATCGTCCTCCTTAAGAAGATAGAATATG